AATTTAACTGACCCCTTAAATTGTATCCCCCTTCCCTTTCATTAAATAGTTTTTGAATTCCCCCAGGTAATAAATTGTTCCTGGCTTTATACATAAACACTGCAGTCTTATATCCCACTAAATCGAAAAATTTTAGCAATTTAGACTGTATGAAAGCTCCAATGGTGTGATCCCTGTACCCCATCTTATGCACAATTTTTATCGCCCTTTTTTGTAATATATACAATGGTTGAGGTGAGCTTATGTATGTATTTCCCCAGTTTTCAATGCCATACTCTTAAGTATGGTAGAATCAATGAGGAATACAAAATGCGTAATGCTTTCCCATCCAAATTATATTTCACCCGTGCCAATATCGATATATTTTTGCTATTTTATTCTGAACATATCTGATATGCGATTTCCAGGAGAATTTGTCATCAACTATGAAACCTAGAAATTTAATTTCATGTACTCGTTCGATATTAGCTCCCCCAATTTGTAATTGAAGTTCATTGTCCAGTCTGCGATTCCCAAATACCATAAATTTAGTTTTATCCAAATTCAGAGATACTATATTACTGTCACACTATTTCTTTATCTTCTCAAGTTTATCATTAATGTATAGTATAAATAATTTAGGTCCCAAAACAGAACCCTGAGGCACTCCACATACAATGTCCAGCTCACTCGATTGGTATTCACCCAACTTCACAAATTGACGCCTCTGTGTCAAATAACTTCTAATCCAATTCAATACCAATCCTCTGATCCCATATTTCTCTAACTTATCCATTAATAACTCATGATTGATTGTGTCAAATGCTTTTTTTAGGTCAATAAATATTCCCATCGTGTATTTCCTCTCATCCATAGCACTTGTTATGTCCTCCATTAGGTCGGTAATGGCCAGAGATGTCATCCCCTTAAAGCAAATATTCCTTTATTAAGTCCTCCCACGACAAGAAAGCAAAGTGTGATGACTGTTTGTCCTGATGGTCTTCAGCAAAGTGAGAAATGCTTTCTTACCCAAACATAGGCTGCAGTCCAGGAAGGGTTTATTTTTAGGTTTTAAAATATTTGTGCTGTGCCTCTGCTCCTGTGTTATAGAGATGTCTTTTGTTGTGGAAAATGTGCATGATTGTGTGACAGCAGAACAGACGAATAAAACACACTCCTGAATTCATAAAACGCACACATCCTGATTACTTACATTGTGGATAAATAAGAACATTTTGTTTAACCCGGTTTTACTACCAAAGTTGGGTTTGTGTCATAGACACATGGAAAAAAAAGCTGTTTTGTTCATTCTGTGCTGGAAACATATGTTCAGAATGGGTGAAGAGCTTTTAAGTAGTTGTATCAGTGATTGATTTAAAAAGACAAAACAAAGAAACTGCAGCTGTTGCACTGCAGTTTGTCCTCTCCTCTGCTGATCTTGTATAGCTTACAGCCAGTGTCCTCAGACTTTCTGTGGATAATGATGCTGGGTGATGTTAAAACACGTTTCCTCACATGAATAGTTATTGGCTTGAACTTGATGAAGATGTGGATGTCCTGTAGGTGGAGAGATTATTGTCTTTGTCTTTTTAAAGCTTTGGTTTAGAGCAGAGAGAGAACTCAGTTTCAGTGGAACTGTATTTTACAAAAACCTGTTTTCGAACAA